GGAGGGGAGAGGGAGGGAGCGAGGGAGAACGGCGAGGAGAGCAATAAGCAAAAGATTTTGGAGGAGCGTACAGCGTTTTCTGCTGGTGCATGGAGACAGAGATCTCAAGATCCATCAGGAGCATCTTGTAGTACTCGAGGGGGTCGATGCCGCTGTACAGCACGGCTTCGAGGTAGTGGACGTAGCGGATCTGACTGGGCCCCTCAACCGTCTGATTGCACGGACGTCGAGTGTAGAAGTTGTTGTACGTGCCGTCCAAGCCGAGCTGCCGGTGAGGGTCAGCAGGTGGGAGCAATGGGAAGCAGGAGAAGGAGAGCAGGAGGGACAGGAGGCATTTTCTGTGAAGTAAGGGAGCAGAAGGGGAGGTGAAGGTAGAAAGGGGGAGGAGATGGAGGGGAGGGGAGTACGGGAGTTGAGGCTAGGAGGAGAGATGGAGATGAAGGTAGAGGAAGGGAGGGATTGCGGTAGAGGAAGGGAAATCGAGATGGAGACGGGAATTGAGGTGGGAGGAGTGGAGGTATAGGGTTTTGGGAGGGAGTGGGGGGGGGGGCCCACTGGGATGTAAGGTGGAGGTGGAGGAAGCGATGGGGAGGTGGAGGTCAAGGGTTTGGATACCTCAGGGTTGTAATTTTCAGTTCGCCTGAAGGTGAACAGCTCCAGCGCATCGACGGCGCACTTCCTGTGACCGCTCCATAGGATGATGGCGGAAGACATGACGCCCGAGCGGCCCTTCCCTCCCTTACAGTGGATTGCGATCACGTTCCTCGGGTCCTTCTGCAGCCACACCTGAGCCTCCTCGCAGAACTGGAGCATCTCCGACATGAGCGGGGGCCCGTGGTCCTCGAACGGGATTCGCTGGACCTGGTTGAAGAGCATGTTGGGGTTGTAGTTGCCCGTCACCCCGTCCGAGGACACGAAGGTGTCGCAGAGGTTGAAGATGAAGAAGCAGCCGTAGTGCCGCAGGGACATGAAGCGGGAGACAACGTGGATGTCGTTGCGGTAGGAGCTGTGCTTGCCGAACGCGGGGGTTCCCATGGCGATGACGCGGGAGGTAATGTAGGTGAGGTCCAGGTCGAACCCGTGCTTCTTGTACCTCCTCTTGTTCTGCGATACCGTGCTTCTCAGCTTCTTCGCCACGTGCCCGCTCAGCTGCCTTGCCCGTCGCAGGTTGATCAGCACGCGCGCGACTCGGAGGATCACGGCGATTCTGGAGAAGATGCGGAGGAAGACAACTGCCTGGACCCCCTGGAAGTGATTCCCGTCCACCACATCCGCCACCTTGCGCATAATGATGACGATGGCGGACAGCCAGACGACACTGAAGTCAAAGATGTTGATCTTGACCTTCCAAAACCTCACCCCCATGGCGATTTGCCGCAGCGTGAGCTCAATGAGGAGGCTGAAGACGACGACGCTCGATAGGATCACCTGGGTGACTGGCTCGGGGGAGCCGGGGGGAGGGATGATTACAAAGGTGTAGACGATGATGTTGCAGATGTCAACGCAGACCAGGCATATGATGAGGATGTTGACCAACAACGAGTCCATGATCTTCTCCAGCCTCTCGCGCCAGTAGTAGTCGATCTTCTCCCACTCGTCCTCCTCCATATCCGACACCTGATCCCACTCCAGCGTCAGCAGGGGCCTCTCCTCCATGCTGTCCTCCTGTCTGCTCCGGTTGTCGTGCATGCCGGTGAGCGACATGGTGCGGCCGAACTGAGACATGTAACCTCGGATCGCCGTCTTGTTGGAGGGAGACGACGGGCTGACCTCTCGCTCTATCCGCGAGTACCACGAGACTCGAGCCGGAGCGAGCACCACCTTGCTCTCGCTCGACCTCAGCGTGTCTTCCAGGCTCGGCGGTTGCCACTGGCAAGAGCGTCAAAATGTCGAAAAGGGTGGGCAGGCGGGGAGGAAGGAAAGGAAGGAAAGGAAGGGAAGGACGGAGAGCAGGAGGGGAAGGATAACAGGCCACTATCACCATTACACTTATCAAGACCACCACTACCACAACTATCATCGTCATGACCACCATCACCACTACCGCTACAATCCTCCTCCTCCTCCACCTCCTCCTCCTCATCATCATCAACAACATCATCAGAGAGAAGTTTCCTACCTCGTTGAGATATTTGGACAAGTGAGTCCTAAAGGCCACAGAGACCATGGACTCCTTCCCGTTCTCCCCGAAAACTGCACAACCATCAGCGAGGCAGGAATAGCAAGGGTTTATCATCCTCTCTCACCAGGGCTGCCCTCCTTGTCCAGCTCGAAGTTGCAGAGGATGCCGTCATCGGGAATGTCGAAGATCTTGTCGAGCGTGAACGTGCTGGACCCTACGACCTCTCGTCCCGAGTATCTCCCGCAGTCGTAGAGGGTGAGGAGCAAGGAAGGAGCAGCTGAGCTCTCGCTCATAGCTCGCCGAGCCTCCTGCAGGAGGTGTGCAGGCACATTGATGCTCGAGCGTTCGAACCACTGGCAGCCATGGGAGGAGTTGGCGATTCGGACGTCGGTCTTGAAGGTCTCCTGGTCGCAGGTGATCTCCACGCAGTAGTAGGACTTCTCCGTCTCTGCCTTGGACACCGGCAGGTTGGTCGCCTCTCGCACGAGAACCATCACCTCCATGTGCCGCTGAGCTGCGATCGCTCGGGGGATGGGAGGGATGCCGTCCTCGTAGATGTCCTGCTGCTGGATGTAGACAGCGTTGGTGTAAGGGAAGGGGCGGTTGAGATCGACATCCGACATGGCCGACTTCATGGGGGACAGCATCGGTGAGTTCTCCTGGGACGAGTCGAGGTTAAAGGAGACGAGGGACCCTATGTTGTCAGCCGATGACATCCGCTCGAGGCCGAGCGGCTTGTTCAACTTCTCAACGTCGATGTCCTCTAGCGAAAGATGGCGGACCACCTGATGCTTGGGAGGGGTAGGAGCGTTACTCTCCGAGGATCGGGACTGTCGGCAACGTCACTGACAGCACAGGCAGCTCACACACTCACATCTTGCCGCACGACCGACAGCGACGACAGGCTCTTCTCCAGTCGATCGATCTGCGATCGCAGGAGGGCCATCTCCTCGGACTCTGATCTCTTTGCTGTGAACATGTCTTCGAGCACCCGCAACAGCATGCTGCTCTCTGCTCTCGGCGACAGGCAAGCTTCGTGATCCTCCAACACGTGGGTCTGTCATGTAGCCATCAGCACTGGTCGTACATACGCTGGAGCACATGTACCTTCCCCTGGCCCAGGCCCTGCCTTGGGTGGCAATCACCAATCTCGGCTATGGCTCTCGCCCTAGGTCAAGTTTCAGGGTGATGGAGAGAAGTGAAGCGTTCTTAACCAGAAGTTTATCGCACTCGACGAGCCTTGCAGGCAGCCATTAGACTTGGTTTGTCGCTCAGACTTGTTGGAGAAGACGATGTCTTGAGCTATCGAGATGCCCGACAGAAACCCCGACAAGGCCTTGGCAGACTCAAACTGGATGCCCCACACACCGTTATCAGGATCCCTCAACAGCACGGAGAAGTTTTCTTCAACATTGACGTCGGGCGACGTCGGCCCTATGTCCTGCTCGAAGACAGTAACGTCCAATGCGTCCACAGCACGCAAGACAACAACTCCGTGCTGGCCCGAGAAGATGCTGAGGCGCACACGAGAATTGGTGTCGACGATACCTGGCAAGGAACACGTGTCAAACAAGTGAGAGGCCCAGGGCGTAAACCATCTGAATGATTCTGAGCATCTCGTCCGAGGCGAGTGAGGATAGCGGAACCTTGGTAGAGATACTTGGGTATGTTGTAGCTTTCCCCAACCTCCATGGAGACGTTCTCCCCAGAGAAGAGCATCCGATGCTGCAGCACCCTCCACAAGTTGTGCCACTTCAACTTGATGGTTGGCGTCCATTCATTGCGGCAGAGGGTCTCGAACAGGGACGAGAGTGTCTTTCCAAGGATCTGGAAGCAAATCAGTAATTTAGATGGATGGATTGATGGATGGAGTGAGGGAGGGAAGGAGAGATGGAGGGAGGGAAGGAGGGAGAGAGGTCTAACGTCCAAGAAAGCTTTCCACTCAAAGCCCTGCTGGCACAGACAGGCACACAGCGATTGACATCCAGGGACGAGATCTTCGATGCTGGTTGGTGATCCACTCAGTGAGTGCAGAGAAGAATGGTTGCGTCACCTCGTTGCTCTTTGAATGCAGTGATCGAGATGCTTCTCAACGATGTTTGCTCGCTTCGACAACGGAGGAGTCGAGTTTGCTGAATCAATACAATCAGATTGCTCCACGCACGTGCAGCAAATCATTACCGGTATTCCGGAAAAGACGCACTGATCCAGGTTCCGTGGCAAACAGCTTCTGGAAGAAAAGAACGATATTTGCATTCGCATCTTGCTGAAAGATTTCCCAAAAGAACTTGATCTGTGAGCAACGTCAATGCGATGCTGTGCCAACCGGGAGCTCTTTACGTCTTCCAGCGGGTTGCTCGCTGTCGGTTGCAATTCCGTCATCTCCATTTGTTCTTCAGAAGCTAACACATCCTGTTAAAACTTCAGTCGAACCGATCGGCAATGTTTGCTAATACCTAACTTGCCATGCCTGCCCATGAATTCCACAATCGTCAATCCGGTCCCGGCTGTGGCTTGAAGCTTCACGCCATGCTTCGGCACATCGTAAGCGAGAGCAGTTGCTTCGAATGAGCTCCAGAAGAAAAGGAAGGGAGAACAGCAAGAGGTATGACTGAGGAGGATAGAGGAGCCATCGGAGTGCTATCATTCATGGCAGTAGAATGCGTAGAGAAGTTCTCAAGCCACAGACCCAATACAACAGAAGCATTTTGAACAAAAAGAGGAGGATATCTGCTTGCATACAACCATCTATAGCCAAAGATGATGATAGAAGTAAACATGAGCAAAGCACTTTTTTCTACTTTACAAAAGGTCCTCATTCGACAACACTTTAATTTCGAATAAAACTGCGCTCATTCTATCTTAATTTGACCTTTGAGGTCTGCAGCAATTCGAATCCCTCATTCCTACATCTGAATTTCTGCCCTGGACAGATTGATCAGGTTCTTCTGTTTGACTCTCAGAATCTCCCCTTATCATTCGATCCTACTCTCAGCCCATTTTTTTTAAACTGTTCAGCTGCTCCTAACTCCACACTATCCTGCATCTTCCGCATTATTTAGCCTGTGTGTCCATCTGTCTCTCTGTCTTGAAGTCCATCGATCTCCTTCTTTGTCAGATGTCTAGCTCGCCCAACTTCTTGTCCCTCCCCTCCCCTCTCCACCTCGAGCCTCGACCACCATTCCCGAACGGTCTAGTTAAAAAAGAATGTTTCTTTTTAAAACTGTTTTTCATGTGGGTACAAACCATTACTAATATTTTAGGGTCATTTCCTAGGATATACCCCTACTCCTTACTACCCCTACCCCATATTCCACCTCATTATATCCTTATCGAACCCACCGTTTCTCCCCACATCTTCTACTTCCCATGGTCGAGGGCGTAGTCCTACCCCCATATATCCATACTGCAGGACCACAACTTTGACCACCCCTACCGTAGCTGTCGTAGCAGTGCTAGAAACAGGACAACCCCTACCTCCCTATCCCCTGTAGTATCTCATCAACCCCTGCGTAGTGAGCGGGTTTATTTGAGCTTTTATAGTTTTAAAACTAATAAATCCATTTTATGTCATGATCATCTAACGGCCATGTAACGTTTTCAGGGCCGCAACACGGGTTGTAAAACTTAGTACTTTTCACCGGCGCAGCCCGGCCGCCGCGGCGGAGCCCCGGGCCCGGGCCGCCGTCCCGGGCCCCGGTCCGAGCTTGGAGCGTCCGACTGTCGGCGTGACTCCAGTACGATCGGTTCGGTGCCGTGGCTCGGATCGGATGGCGCGGCCCGGCGGGGCATGAGTGGCTTTACTCGAAGTTATACTATGATGATCAGTCAAACTGCCAGGAAAGCACTATGATCCCGGCGGTCGGATCATATGATCAGCCACTCAGCGGCCGCTTTCACTGTGCTACTCGTGACTCAGTGGCAGGCTACCGTACCGTCTGTGTGCTCGGAGTGTGGCCGTACGGTCGAGTAGGACTAGCCGAGAAGCCGTGGCTGGTAGCTGCAGCGAGTCGTTGAACGCATAATGGCGGCGGCGCGGCCAATCGGATTAGTATGCCGCCGCATCTGTCAGCATCGGACTGAGCAAACTTGTAGTACATGCCGAGTGTTGGATAGAGTGACAACCAATTCAAGCTTGTAACATTTTGCTTTTTGGATCTGAACTCAGTCCTACTTAAAAATCCTCAACTTTTCAAACGGTTCAAGACGCTTTCAACACAACAATGAATATCCAGGGGATGGTCCAAATCAGAGAGCCTCCACGCACGAAGGTTTTCCTCACACTCCAGACTTAAAGCATAGAAGGATGAGGAGAAAGAAGTTCGAATGAATATTCCTGCTGTACTCATTTCCTGTATCGACCAATACTGTTGGCTTTGGAAGACTTTTTCACGTTGGTGTTTGCGTTTGGATCATCGCTCTTAGCTGCAACAAAGGCCTTTTCAACATCAGTACCTGACACTGTGGGATTATCTCTTGCTAGGTCGAGCATGCTCTCGTAGCGAGCCCTCTCGGAGTCCAGCTCTTGCTGCGAAGCATCATTCGATCCTCGCGCTCTCGGGCATCCACAGTAGGACAGGAGGAATCCCAGCATGTCAGGCATCACTGACAATAAGCTCTAACTCTCTTCTTTTCAGATGTCTAGATACTGATCGCAGTAAATCTCTGACATCTGAATACTCTGCATCTTCCTCCTCGGACTCTGCGAAGGCCTTCTGGGCTCAGGTTGTTTCTCTGGCTCAGCCGGGTTGAACAAGTGCTCTTTGCGCCTGGCCAGCGTCCTCCTCCTCAAAGCGTCCTTCTCTACCTCCGAGAACGATCTCAGCTCCTCGTCGTCGGCGCTTCCCCACTCATACTTCCCGCCATTGACCTCCCAGCAGCACCACGACCACATTGCCCGCCGCCTCTGGTATTTGCGGAAGTACCCTCCTTGGTCTTCCACCCTACCCTTTTAGCTCCTTGCATCTTCCGACTACCCCTATTCATACCCATTTATGACCCGTGGACCCTCTAAAATCTCTTGCTAAACACCCCTGGTAAAATCTATTCTACTACCTACCACCCACCTGAACTGGACTTTGCCCTTCCCCTTGCAAGTCGAAAGTTTGGGGAATAGGTCGACCGGGGGTGGTGTGGCCAATGGCATCGTTTGAAGGGGTGGAAAGGGAATTTTCGAAAAGTTTATGGGCATTTACCCCTTGTATTCATAGGAATTTGGGGGGTACTTTCAACTATGGTGGGCCGGAAGGGGGTGATATAGCGGGATGGGTAGGTGGGGTAGGTCACGAGGCCATGCAGGGAACCGTGCGAGTTTGAGAGGAGAAAACGGAGGGGGGGGGGGAGGGGGAGAGGGAGAGGGAGAGGGAGGTGGAGAGAACGAGGAAAGCTGCTACAGTCATGAGCAGCAAGAGCAGAGGAGCAAGAAGAGAAGGAGGGTGGAGCCCTCTCGTGAGCAATTTTCCGAAGCCGATCGTAATGAAACATAGAAGATTGACGCCTGGGAAAGAGAAGAGAATAAGCTGAGGAGTAGTTGTTGAAATGCACCTATCATTATGTGAGGAAAAGGAGCTATCTGAGCTTGTTAGACAAGCCTTTGAATCATGATAGTCAGGGAGAATGTAGGTGTGGTCGATGGGTTGGGTTAAGAAAGTTTGAGAGGACGAGAGCATGCAGTTGGGTGTTTGATGGAACAAATTATGTGAGCTGATATCAAGAAACATTCTATTGTAATCTTGTGGAACCCGTGGCCAACTCTTTTGAAAAAGGTGCTGTGGAACGCGATGGGACTGATGCGTGTCTCGACATTTCAGGATCTTCATTGGGTTTGCAACCTGGACGTTGGTGGGCGAAGATTTCCTGGGAGGGCGAGTCCAGCTAGAAAAGCAGGAGGGGGATGAGGATGCTGCTATGAGCTTGTTGGAGAAGGGAGTGTTTTTCGCGTTTGTTTGCTCTCTTTTGGGTAAGTGAACACGTCTGTCTGTTTGCAATGTTGCTGTTGCAATGTCGATTTTGTGTCACGATTTCTATGTGGAAACTGATCAGGTTGTCTTCTCCTCATTCCTGTTACAGGCTGTGTTCAGCTTTCGAGTGTCATCTCCCTTTTTCTCGTCGGGATGTTTTTGCTTCAACGTCTCACCGGCATTGGGGTTGAGAGGTTCAAGGACGAAGACGGGTTTGAGCCTGGATCGAAGTCAAAGCCAAGCGTGGGCTACAGGTCTTGATCCTCTTCCTGCTCCTCCTGCTCCTCCTGCTCCTCCTGCTGCTACCAAAGCCTGACGATGCGATCAAGCCTCGTGCAGGGTCGCCGACCGTACATGGAGGACATGCACTTCACCTCGTTGAACTTTGGAAGTGAGTCACGGCTGGGCTATGTGGCCGTCTGATCTATCCTGCCCCGCAGCTTCCGGCAAGTCCTGCTTCTTCGGAGTATTTGACGGACACAGCGGCAAGAGAGCTTCGCAGTTTGCGAGGGACCAACTGGGTGAGAAGAACCATGAGACGTTTCTTTCCTGTGCTGATGCGTTGCCAGCCAAGTACCTGGAGGTCGACCTACAGCAACTCGGGCCGCGAGAGGTGAGCGAGGGTATTAAGAAGCTCGAATAAGATTTCCCGCAGGCACTCCAATCAGCGTTCATGAAGACAGACGCCTCATTCCTGCAGCGGGCGGAGAAGGAGAACCTCAAGTGATTGTTGTGCTGGCCTTCACTGTCGGTCTTGACGGGAGCACAGCGATGGCAGCACAGCAGCTACGGCGCTCCTGGTGGGACGTGAGCTTTATGTTGCCAACGCGGGGGACAGGCGAGTTGTCAGCTGCTTGTAGGTGATCTTTGCTCACTTTGTGTGCCAGTCGGGCTATCCTTTGCTGTGGTCAGTCTGCCATTCCCATGAGTGTAGATCACAAACCAGACCGTCCGAGCGAGCGAGAGAGGATCGAGCAGGTCTGAAGAGCAGGCGCGTCCTCACTTGTGCTGATGGAACGCAAGGCGGGAGGAACCGTGGTCTATTTCGGGTGTGCAAGAGTGAACGGCATCCTTGCTACTTCTCGCGGCATTGGTGACAGGCATGAAGAGCTCCTGGATCCTCCTCCTCTCACGCGCTGCTGTTAGGGAGCTGAAGAATTGGGTCATTGCGGAGCCCGAGATCCGCTACAAGAAGCTTGAGCCGGTACCATCGCTTGTCCTCCCTGTTCCTCACCACTCTCCTCCTCCGCTTCTCAAGGCTCAAGCGCTTGCAGGGCGATGATTTTCTTGTCATGGCTACGGATGGCCTCTGGGACGTGATGACCAACGTGCAGGTAAAAGTGGCTGCAATGGAAGCAGAGGAGTTGAGACAAGCAGGGGAATGCAATAAGCAAATTGTGTGGTGGGAGTGTGAAAGGAGAGGAGATAGTAGTGGGAGCCAAGGAAGAGGTCTGGAGACTTGCTTGAGGGAAGCGGCTGGGCGTGCAATGAGTGTCATGGTTGTCGTCCAGGTTGCAACGATCATCTCAGGCGAGAAGAATGCGCAAGCAGCTGCAAAGAAATTGACGGCGGAGGCTCTCAAGGTTCCCCCCCCTCCCACCCCCCTTGTCACACTTGTACTCGCCTATGACATTGCTGCCCGTTATCCTCTCAGACTTGTATTCCCCTCCGCTGCTATTCGCTCCCACTCACTTCCTCACTCCCTCTGTGAGTCGCTCGGCTCCTCCCCCTCTCTTGGTGCTCGTTGGTGAGGCAGAAGCTGACGAGGAGGCAGCTGGGGAGCATGGACAACATCACCGCGCTGGTGGTGGACCTGCGGGAGATGCTGGCTGACATGGGGCCATCGGCGGATGAGAAGAATGGATGAGTGCGCGCAAAGTTTTTTCTTGGTTGACTTTTTGATGGAGCAAAGTTGCTGTAAAGTATTGCGAACATAATGAAACAGAAGGACGATACGGAAGTGAGAGGCCAGAGAAGGAACGAGGGGAAGGAAGCAGGGAGGCGCGGGAGCGCGAGCAGGACAACAAAACAAGTAGAGTTTCACTCTTTTAAATCAAATTGACAAGGATTAAGACTACAAGTCCAGAGAAGGGCATACGGAGCCATCAAACTCTTGACGCCTGTCGGATGGTAGACACCCATTCCGACCTCTCCTTCTCCGTCGCACACGCACATTCATAAGTTCTCTTCTTGACCTGCTCTCATGTCACATGCAAACCTTCCTTGACCTTCCCTCTGATCTCCCTGCTCTTGCTGCCCTTGAAAGGCTCGTTACGATTCCTCCCCCTTCCCCGCAATACTCCCTCTAGATGTCTCGTTTCTTCCCTCATCTCTCCATCCTCTCCCTCCCTCGCTTCCCTCAACTCACCTTGTCTCGGATAGTGAATTCCCAAATCTTCCCGTTGGAACCTTTTTCCTCCACCACACAATCGAAGATATTGATGCTGCCTCGCGGTTGCGACCTTGACTCGAAGGCCTGAACGCTCGCGTAGTACTCCAGCACGTTCTCCTTGAGCAGGAAGTAGCGGTCCTGCCATGACGTGTTGTACCATCCTCGCTTCTTCACGATCCCTCCGAGCGCAAACGATCCTCCGTGTGCATCGGGATGCTCATGCGCTGTAGAGACGCTGCAGACGTGTCAAGAGAGGAGCAGGCAGGCAGGAAAGGCATACAAAGACTCAAAGAAGGACCCCGCACGCTCGAGGGCATGACGCCTGCAACAAGCATATCCCTCAGCATCAGCACGGGAAGTCATTCTCCCTCCTCATCACCTGTCACCCCAGGCAACCTCTCGAATGCTTGACATCCAACTTTGACGGCTCTCGTCGGACTCGCAGGCGCATTCGTACGTTCTCTTGGCCACCTTGTCCAGCACAGCAAAGAGGAACAGGTTGTCAACCTTGCCCCTGTCCTCCACCTCACAACCGGCCAGCCAGATAGTTCCTCTTGGCTGCTCGTTATGGTGGTTCTTGTCGGTCACGTAGTACTCCAGCGCTCGGCCTTTGATAACGAAGAAGCGATCTCTCCAGGAAGTCACGTACCATCCTCGCTTCTTCATCCACCCGGACGTCAACAGCCCCCTGCCATCCTCGTCACCACCTGGACTTCACCCTGCACCACAAGCAAAGATCTCACTCTTCCGGCAGCAGCATGCTGCTCTTCAAATCCGTGTTGCGTCGCAAGTTCTTGCTGGTGATAATGCTGGAGAAGGATTTGATGGACGACAGCCTCTCGTTCCGCGAGCTGTTCATTGACAAGAGAGTCAGAAGAAGAATGAAGACAGAGAGGTAACGACGTTTTTGTCGGTGTATTGGGCACATGCTCTGATATTTCCTTGAGCTGTACAACATTTCACTGAAAAATCAAATAAATTGGTTTAGTGTACCAAGTCGACGATCTGAGTTCGAAGGTCCTCAGGAAGGCTTTTGATCACTTCCGTCTTATTTTTCACTAGCCTCTCGCCACTGAAGAGACTGTTACCGTAGGGGCACCACCGCAACCTGATCCAGCACGTCATGGGCAGGCAAAGGGCTGTCCTGACTCTACCCGTGCTCCCCGTCAAGTTCACACACGTACTCATGAAGCTGTTTCGAATCATCGCTGATCCCACAAGACTGGAGGAGAGCACACAAGTGGTCAAGACTGTAGATGTGGTTCGGAGTGATCCTTAGCGACTGCTTGTAGAGATCGCAAGCCTTGCAGTAGTCCTGGTGGTGCTCCTGGTGAAGCAGAGCGAGGTATGCGAGAGAGTCGCATCGAGTCTTGTCGTCGCACTCTGCGGCCTTGATGATTTCCTCATAGCGAGCACATGCTTCCTCCTGCATCTTGTTGTCCTGCTCAAGCCTGCATCTCCCGTTACTACTGCAACACAAGCATCGATGAGTTACCGGGCTAGGTTGAAGCTCGTCTTCCAGCGGCGAGGGCTGATCTTCAAGCAGTGTTCATATAGGATGCGCGCGACCCCTACCTGAGCCTTGCGATGGTGGAAGACGGCGAAGCTGTGAAGCGTTCGAGCATGGTTGCGGTTGATCATGAAGATGTCGTAATACTTCGAAAGAGCATCGTCGTCCATGTCGTCCATTGCGAGAGCTTCAGCTTCTTCACACATGAAGGCGAGGGCATCGCTTTCTGTCCCCCCGTCTACCTTACCATAAGCACTCTCCCACTCGTCAAGCGACATCTTCTTTCCTTCCTTCCATTCCTTGAGGAACTTCTCCAGCCCAGAAACCACACACTTCATCTTCGGGGTACTCGGAGGGTCCAGCATGAGCTCAGGTGTCGCATCTCTCTTCATCTCCTTCAGTTCCTCAGCAGGCCCTCCTTCTTTTCTTTTTCCTTCCCCCTCCTCCCTCCCTCCTCCTCCTCCCAGCACCGCTATGGCTCCATCAAGGCCTTCCGCCGCCATGGCGCTTGACTATAACCGTCTGCTCTCTCTCTCTCTCTGCAGCCGTAGTGAAAACTTTCGATTGACTATAACAGTCATTTATTGACTATGAGGGATCTTTTTTGACAATAACCACTCAACATTGACTATAACAACGAACGGGGCGTTGGAGATACAGACGAGGTACCAACTTGACTACCAGGATACATGTTAACTGAAACCTTATGTACGCCTTATTGACTATGGTCCCGAGATATCATTGACTATATTAGCTTCACTATAGGTACTCATAGTCAAATATCGCGAAGAGGTTGGACTGGAGGGAAAAGCTGTAGTAAAAATAAAAGCTCTAAATATTATTAGCCAACGTGCCAGTGATATAGTCAAAGTTTGTTGTTTAAAATGGGGATGTAAGTTTTATCCACCAGCCTCTATAGTCAATATTTAAGCAACAGTCTCAAAAAAAAACCGTTACTGATCTTTTTACTCCTACAGTTTTTAAATAACTTTTATATCATAAATTATTTTAATGTGAAGCGTTGCGGATGATGCAGCCCAACTCATCTCCCTTCTTGCGGCTCTACTGGCGGTCTACCCTTGTTCACATGTTTATATGTTGGATGAAGTTGTCAAAAGAGTGTGATGTACAAACATCCCAACGATGTACGAACATCCCAACGATATACGAACATCCCAACGATATACAAACATCCCAACGATGTACAAACATCCCAACGATATACAAACATTTCAACGATATACAAACATCCCAACGATGTACAAACATCCCAACGATGTACAAACATCCCAACGATGTACAAACATCCCAACGATATACGAACATCCCAACGATATACAAACATCCCAACGATGTACGAACATCTCAACGATGTACGAACATCCAACGATATCCCAACACCTAATACCCGCACCCTCCACATGTCTGATTATCATCTTCAAGTCAATCGAGTTTATTTACATGTTCCTAGTCTTTCTTACACTGTCTTTCTGTCACCTGCATCATGCGCCTCGTTCAGCCTGACAGTTCGAAATCAGCCCGTAAGAACCGTTGGAAGTCCGCAAGGCAGACCTGCACATGTCAACCAGTGAGCTCTCTCGAGGTCAAGCAGTGAGTTCATGGCTTACCCCAAGTCTCTGAGCCATCTCGATGGCAATGACAGAAAGTCTGACATCCTCCGCTGCCAAACCGAGAGCCTGTACAGCAACTCACACCACGCGACTGGCACAAGAAGGTTTACCAGCCCACATGCGCTCCAGCTCGACGAGCTTCCTCATACTGCAACGTGTTCAAAATCGCGCCCTGTACCATCAGTCAGCACAAACAACTACCGACCGCTTTCTTACCGAGTGATAACGACCGCACAACACAGACGAAGCTTTCATCACGCTGGCGGGGTTACTCTCGTCGTACAGCATCGGTCGAATCTCAGTCGAGTCATCTCCAAGCACCAAGACACAGCCATCTTTGCTCAGAATGACAGTATAGTTCCCTCCACAACTTGTCGCGCACGCTCTGCAGAATGTTTCAGCCATCAACTTCAGGGCTAAAGCAGCTAAACCGTTTGTCGAGAGGCAGCTCGAGCTTATAAGGTTTCCTGCAGTCCGGGGGGTTCGAGTAGGCTCGTCGAGCTGGTTTCCCGACAGCGCCGAAGCAACCTTGACCCCACGTGTACACGTTTCCTTTACTCGTCACGGCCGCGCAATGCTCGTCGCCGGCGGACAAGTGAACGAACCTAGAAAGGCAGGTCACATAGACAGCACTGCCCTCCACCTTCACTGCTCACCTTCTCTTGTCCATGATGCGCGAAGTGATCAAGTGTGGGCGTGCAGCCAGCCTCTTCTCCCCCAACCCGAGGGCCCCAAACTCAGACATTCCGAAGCTGATCAGTCTCCCGTAGTCAGTGAGGATTAGCGTCACACTCGCGCCGCATGCTAGCAGCACAGGGCTCCCCACGTCAGCAACCTCCCCGGTAGTATTTTCCAGCTCAAGGAGCAGCTTTTTCGGTGTAGAGCATGAATTCAAGTCTCCGTGTCCTAACTGCCCGTGTTCCCCTTCACCCCACGTGTACACGTCACCGTCCAGGGATAACGCCGCCATGTGCTCGTATCCAAGTGCGACCTGTCAAGGCCACACTTTCAGACAGCATGACCCTGCCATCATTCCTTACCTGTACTATGGGAATGTGATGTAGAGCTGCGACTGATCTCGGTAGCCACTCATCGCTCTTCTCTACATGACCCAGCTGTCCTTTGGATCCCGAACCCCAAGTGAATACTTTCATGTCGTGACTGATACACGCGCTTGAGTACATCCCACAGGTTACATCCACAATGACTTCATCCTTCAAGAAATCAACTCGAGTTGGATACGGAACGTCTTTTCCCGATTTCAAGCCTAATCTGCCATGATCACACAATCTGCAAGGGAATGATAAGTACAATCAATCCACCACCAGCAAAAATGATAGCATTTTACCCCCATGTAAACAATTTTCCTGTACTGTCAATCGCTGCGCCGTGGTCAGCACCGTACGACACGTCAATGATTCCGTTGCCTAGTCTGCATTGGTCTCAGGTTTCATGCAAGCAGGATCACGGCGACTACCTTGTTAGAGTCGAAACCAGCTTTGGAAATGGCTGAGCTTGGTACTGTCCCGTTCCCAGTTGATAATTGTGCGAGCAACCCCAGGCAAACAAGTAAATCGCTTCGTCTCTCCTCGGTTGCAGGCTCAACGCTGAAGGTCCACTGACCACGCGAGCTCGAGGGTCCTCGTGCCTTAAAGCTGCCACATCCGCGACAAGTTGCTTCTCAGCATCCAGCAGGCAGGGCTGAGGTGCTGTTGGAAAGAACGCTGTGCTCGAATCCAAAGCTCCCTGCTCAACCTTGGAGTTTTCTTCGGAAGTTCCTTGAGGAGACAGCAAACTGTGAGCTTCAGAATCAACTGCTCCTTCACTGATACTGATCTGTTCGAGAAATCTTGGCGCTTGATTCGGAGTATGGTAGTGTTGATGGTACAGGTCAGAAACATCCTGAGATGGCATGTAAGCTGCCGTAACGCTCTTCACCGCCTGTGTCAAAAGTTCGGCGTCTTCTCGCGCCGGAGTGCCCGGAGCCTTTGTTTCTCGTGCCTCGTGGCTGCCTGTATTCCAATTTTCAAGCTTCACATCATACCCACTGCTCATGATCTCCCTCAAAACATCCTGTGTGCTGAGCATGTTGTCAAAGCCGGTCATGCTCTTGGGATGGAGCTGCCCCACGCTCTCCTCGCAGAACTGGAAGTCTCTCGGCCCTTCAGTTCACACCTGGATCATCCAACATCACATGAACTGGTCAACGACAACTCAATAAATTTTCAATGCATTTCCTTCACTGTCAATTCCGTCACAGATTTCTCCCTCTATCAACAATGCCGCTACTAAATGGCTTGATCATCTTGCACCCGAGCCATTTCTCTTCATACAATCTTCCATGCTGAATGAATGTGCGACCTCTTCAGCTTAGATTGTTCATCCCACCGCAAAATTATCGTTTCTCCCTCATTTTCTCGCGTCATTGGAGCAAACATCATGGTTGAGTCTCATCATCGAGGCGAAGTTCACTCAACAACATAACAACTTCTTCTGTTATTCTTCTTGTTTCTTCTCTCATATCAACCATGTTTCAAGAGTCTTGCACTCGCTACCCTCTACTTCTCGCTACTTCTCTCTCCTCTTCCCTCCATCATTTCTAGCAAGGCTCTGCCTCTTGAGCCCTTAGTGGCATCTTGCTCCAAAATCCTGCAAAACTAACAAAAACAAATTAATAATATCATTAGTTCTCCGACACAGCCTTTCAGTGCCCGGCGGCCCGGGCCGGTCACCGTGCGGCAGTGCATCCGGGCGACTTGCCGGTCGCGCAGCCCGGCGGCCCCCCCCCACCCCCCCCCCATGGCCGCCGGTGGGCCCGGCCAGGCGCACGGTTACAGTGGTCCTGTAGTTACAGTGGTACTTTTCACAGTGACCGGGTGACCGGGGGACTCGGACTTTACTCGTGACTTACTACTGAGGCTTAAAAGCCTTCAACCGTGAGTCATTCAGCAGCCTACGGTCGTCGGGATCACATGGCGGGCAAGGGCCTGTACTTGATGCGCGTTGGCTCTGTGTTGCCCATGCTGCTCTGACGTCAGACGCCGTGGAGGAGGAGGAGGAGGAGGAGGAGGAGGAGGAGGAGGAGGAGACTCACCGGTTGATCCTGTTCTCTTCATAGGACTGAAAGTTCCCCTCCCAGAAGAAGGGCTGCAGGAGGCCATCGCAGTCAGCCAGCTGGAGTTGTCAACCCCTGGCTCACCTTGCATTCCTCACCCTCAAACGCGAGGATATGAGTCGCCACGCGATCAAGGAAGTATCTGTCAAACAATCTCAGGCTCCAATCTACCTCCTCCTCCTCCTCCTCCCTTCTCATCCCCTGCACCCTTGATCCTCCCTCAGATCCCCTCTTTTGCTCTCTGCTAATTCACTTAGCTCCGACCCCACGTACCTGTCGTGGCTGATGACCACAGCACATCCTGGGAAGTCGATGAGAGCGTCTTCGAGGGCTCTCTGCCGAAAAAAGTCACCTGAGCCTCCACCTCCTCCTCTTGATCCTCCTCCTCCCCTCTACTCTGCTCCTCCCTCCTCCTTCTCCCCTCTGCTCTCCTCCTTCTCACCAGCGTGTCGACGTCAAGGTCGTTGGTAGGCTCATCCTAGGAGCAAGTGAGCAGCACGTACAAGGTCAAATCTCAAGGTCAAAATTTGGTACCAGAAGCAGAAGATTCCCGTTCTCCTTGAGGGTCATTGCCAATTGCAACCTGCCGCCAGGTAAGAGGATGAGGGAATGAAAGAGGGGAGGCAAGAGGAGCAAGCTTGTCAAGCTCAGCCTTGCCTGTTCCTCTCGCCTCCTGACAGGTTTGCGACTTTCTTCTGCTGGTCGGCGCCCTAGGAGGGGATGAGACGAGATTGAAGGAGGAAAGAAGGAGACCTTGAAGTTGAACCAGCCCAGGTACTGCCGCACGTTGATCTCGCGCTGTCCCAGATTCATCAGTTCATAACCGTCTGCATGCTCAGTCAGGCCAGCACCGAGAGCATGTCTGTTACCGTTGATGCTCTCGAAGACAGACTTGTCGCCGTCAAGCCCCAGCCTATCTTGCGTGACGTACCTGATCCCTCCACCATCACAAGTTTTCTCCTCCTCCTCCTTCCCTGCTACATGAGTTTGACGGTCTCGCCAACTTTGATGGTTCCCCTGCTCAAAGCATCACTCGATGCGAGCCACACGTCACATGCTCACTTGTCCGGCTGCTGTTCTCCAGCGATCATGCGGAAGAGAGTAGACTGTATAAACGCTGAGGAGAGGGGCTGGAGCCTGGACTGAAAGCACCTTGCCGCATCCGTTGGGTCCGATCACTCCGACGATTCCTCCTCGCGGCAGAGAAAGAGTCAGGTCCTCGTACAGCAGCCTGCACACTTGTGTCATCTTGCCAACCAACTTGTCAAACTACAACTTGTCCACCTGTCGCCAAAGGCCTTTGTGACTCCTTCGATCTCGACCACCTGAGTTCCGAGCTTGGGTCCAGCAGGAACATCTGAGGACTGACATCACAAAAGAAGAGAAGATTTGAAAAGATCACATAGTTGCGCAGCTCCTGTTCTTTTTTCCATCTCCTGCGATCGCTCCAAGAGTTCATCGTACGCCTGCAGTCCAGTCAAGAGGTGTTTGCTGTTCCCTACCTCTCTTCTCATCCATCTCTCTTCGCTCCCCCTCCTTCCTTCAATCCCTCTCGCTGCTTCTTGTGTTCACCTGGATGCGAGACTTGCTCTTGGCTTGGCGGGCCTTCGGGGACGAGCGGATCCTGGTGAGCAAAGGAGGAGGCGTCAGCAGAAAGTTGGCAACAGAGGTAAGTGAAGGACAGAGAAGAGCAGGAAGAAAGAACCAACCATTCGAGCTCCTTCTCAAGCTCCTTTTGAAGAGCGGAAGCCTGTTTCTTCTCTTGACGCATCCTCTCAGTCTGTTCAAGTGAGAAACAAGCACTAAGATCTGCGGGAGGAATTGATTCGAATTGTCACCTTCTTGTCCAAGAATGTCTGATAGTTTCCTTCGTAAGGGATGCCCTGTTTCATCCCTTCAGCCTTCAATCCTGCTGTCATCCTGCAATCACCTTGCCCTGGTCGAGCTCGAGAATCCACTGAGCAACATTGTCCAAGAAGTAGCGGTCGTGAGTGATGGCCACACATGTTCCCTTTCATGTCACATGGTCAGTCTCTTTCAAAAACTCTTGTCCGTCCTCACCTGGTAGGATCCAAGAAACTGTTCCAGCCAAGCGACAGACTGCAGGCGGTATCAGCTGCCACAAGCTTCAAGGACGTGAGGTTTTGCCTCTGCGTCAAGGTGGTTGGTGGGCTCGTCGAGGAGGAGAAGGTCTGACACCGTGCGTTAGCGGCTGTTCCTTCTAGCCATCAACTCCATCACCTGGCCTCTGTAGAAGCAGCTTGCAAAGAGCAACTCGCCTCCTCTCGCCTCCAGAGAGGACGCTCACTGGAAACGGTCTCAGTTCTGAAACTTTACCGTTCACAAGCTCACTCACCGCTGCTGTTTGGGTCAGGACATCTCAGTGCGTCCATGGCACGCTCGAGCATGCGGTCGAGCTCCCATCCGTTGGAGGCTTCGATTCCGTTTTGAACTCTTTCCTTGGATGAAAGTCAAGAGGATCGAGGGGCGGGCCAGCCATACCATCTCGTTCATCAGCTTCTCCTTGGCGTCGTCAGAGATTCCCTCATCCGTCAGCTCCTTGGATATCTTTCCGTAGCGCGCGACGAGCTCTGTACACCAGTCACCAGGGCGGCACCAGCACAGCTAAGCTAACCTCGGATCTCCTTGACCGACTCTTCGATGTTCTCGATCACAGTCTGCGGCCCCTCGTGTCAGGTGTCAGCTTATGGGCCTTGTTGCAGCACCTTGTCTTCGCTCAGCTTCGGTTCTTGCTCCAGGTAGCCGATCTTAGCCCATCTGTCACCAGACAAGCACGTGGTCACACGGCTCATAGGTCAAGGCTCTCAAACCTCGCTGGCGCAGCGTCTCCCTCGTAGTTTTCATCCTGAGACAACAAGAACGAATCAGGTCAGGAACCTTTACAGCTTCTGCCTCACCTGTCCAGACATAATTCTCATCAATGTCGACTTTCCTGCTCCGTTGTTCCCCAGCACTCCTGTACAGCCATCAGGAACGGAAAGGTCTATGCAGACAATCGACCGATCTTCGCTCCAGGATAGAAAGCAAGGTTGATGTCTTGAAGGACCTGAAATATTGTCGAGGGAGGCTCTCAAAGCAGATCATCCTCACCTGCTTGCCACTTGGCAGTCTCTTTCCAAGCTTGTACATCTGGTAGATATACTCCCGCTTGTCGGTGTCAAGGACCTTGCAGCATGTTGGCGTCTTCTTGCATGAAACTACATCATCACCTGGCTTGTTTGCCTTGCAGGCTTGTCAGCAGCGTTGCTCTTCGCTGCGCCCTTTCCTCCCTTCTTCTTGCCACCTTTGTTGCGACTACTCAGGAGTCAGCGCATGTCATTGCTCGAGGCACAAAGGATATTGAACTGACTTGACGCTGGAGAGCTGCATGCTCAACCCCAAGGGGGTGACGGCAGTTCTGCTGCTCCTCGCCATGACAGTTTGAGGTCCCGGAGCTCGAGCTGTTGTCAACAGGGATTCAATCGGGAGTCTGTTGTGAGCATGAAATTCACCTGAACCGAATCCAAAGCAAGAAACTGAGATTGGCATTGCCAACACGACTGATAGAAGCATGGAAGAAGCGCGAGGGAGCGGCATCATTGAGGCCCTTGGCCTTGCCGTCCTCCCTTCTCCTCCTGCTCTCCGAACCATCGCGGCCTCCTCTTGTTCAGTCTCAACTTTCCCCCCGTTTTCAACCCTCATCCCCGCACAGCACTCACTCAGGCCCGCACCAGACATGAGCTGCCTTCCTTCATGATCAATTAAGTTCCTAATTTTTGTTTCTGCCCTACAACTCATTTGGAGGAAACGGGGGATGAGGGCTACGAACTTTCGCACGCAACTACACATGTGGGCACGGCGATGCAGTGGGGTGCTTGGAGAAGGCGCAAGGATGCTCGGAGGAGGCGCAAGGTAGCGATGGGAAGGAGGGAGGAGGGAGGAGGGAGGAGGGAGGAGGGAGGAGGGAGGAGGGAGGAGGGAGGAGGGAGGAGGGAGGAGGGAGGGCTTCAGGGATGGCCCTGGTGTGCTCAATGTTGTCTGTTTTTCAGATGCAAGCCATGGTTGGCCGGGGGGGGAGGAGGAACTGCGACATTCGATAGAAGGAAGCACTCGACCGTTGATGCAGACGAGGTCAATAAATTCGGCGCGATCGGACACGCATGGTGGGATGTGCATGGACCTCAGAAGGCGCTTCATTCCTTCAACGGCATGCGTGTTCCCTTCTTGTATTGCTTTGTGAACCCCTACAATAGCTTACTCCTTCATCACAGAAAATCCATGTTGAAACAAACCATGCCGCGTGCCCAAGCCGAGCAGCAATCTGAGAGAGAGGTTTTGCATGAACTTTCGATCGTGGATGTTGGGTATGATGCTTTCATGCAATGTTTGGCTCTTATTACCTGCGAAGGTGCGGAGGAGGCATCTTAGCAGAGGAGCTTGCTCGTTCTGGCGCTCATGTTCTTGGCATCGACGCCGCCAAACAAAATGTGAGAAACATGCTGATCTATCGTTCTGACATGCATAACTCTCCTTTTCTGATGTTGAGAACAGATAGCGGTAGCAGAAGAACATGCCAAGCTGAGTGGGGTTGGAGGAGGAAGCTTGAAGTATCGGCACGTGACGGCAGACGATCTGATACAAGAGAAGAAAACTTTTGACGTTGTTGTCTGCAGTGAGGTAATTTCTACTCTGCTTTCTGTACAGGAGTCGCATGACTGAGATCAGGTGCTGGAGCACGTGTCGGACTTACACCTGATGGTACTTTTCCATCGGCATACCATGTATGATGACAAACCTGACAGGTGAATCAATTGATGCAGCTCGTGGCTCCGCGGGGAGCCCTGTACATCACCACAATGAACAAGACGACCTTGTCCTACGGTCTCGGTCTCTTCGACTCTTTCAGTGCTGGAGGAATGTGTGACAATCGGGCAGGCATCGTAGCGGCAGAGCGACTGCTGAAACTTGTTCCGGATGGCACGTGAGTCCTGAGACTGAGAATGCATCGTTGTAATGATGACGATGATGTGATGACGATGACGATGATGTGATGATGACGATGATGATGATGATGATGATGACGATGACGACGACGACCATGATGATGATGCAACGAAGATGCAGATGCAGAAGATCATGACGAAGGATCCTTCTGTTGATGACTTCACCATTTCAGGCATGATTGGAACAAGTTTGTCAAGCCTGAAGTCCTCACGGAGCAGCTATCCTGCTCTGGGTTTGCCGTGAAACGAATGTCAGTCAGTTTGGTTCCTCTGAATCTTCTCACACCATGTCAGACTTGGGGCAGCTTACAACCCTCTCATCAATCGATGGCATCCTGTTCCTGATCTCAGCGTCAACTACTTGCTGTTTGCTCATAGGAAGGCGGCTTGTTAGCAAGCATCCTCTATCGTAACTGCCCCTTGTCCTCTCCTTCAACTCTCCCCTTTGAACCAGGCGCCAAGATCCAGAAGCTGCTGGAGCTCTGTGATAGCATCATTCTAGCTTGTCGAGAGATCCACCCACCTTTCTTGACTTCGTGGGGCTGAGGAGGAGGAGGAGATCCTCTCTCCCTGAGCCCTGTGGCCTCAACTTGCTCCTCGTGTTGTTGCAGCGAATGCTGGCAGACAGCAGGCAGCTGTCCCCCCTCCTCAGATGCCTGACGCGGCTCTCACGCGTTCAAAACCTTCTCAAGAAGTCTACCTGGATGCTCCGATGACCTTCATTGATCTCTTCATTCCTCACTTCGATCTTCTCCTCGCTCCTTTCATTCTGTTCATGCATACCCTCGCTCATCGGCTCTTCCACCATCGTTCCGGCCAGGCAAGTATCGTCCTACACTGTCGTAAGCAGCCAAGCAACGTCTCTGATTCACACCTTTGATTCAGAAACATCTGATCTCCCAGGAGCCACAGGAGCAGATGCTTGAGCTGAAGCTACACATGCAGCACTAGCAGTATCAACGTGATTTTTCTGGATGGCATCTTTCATGCTTTCAATCTCAACATTCGCCTTGTCAAGCTTCTCTTTCCACGACGTATTGAGTGCCTCAAGCTCATCTTGATGGGCTGTTCGCATAGCTTGGAGCTGATTCTCAGCCTCCAGCAGCTTCTCCAGCATACACGCAGCGCTCTCGTCCAAGTCTCTGTCGATCTGCTGGAGCATGTCGCCGGTCTCCCTAGCGGAGAGAGACATGGAGTGATGGAAGGTGTGGAGGAGGGACGAGTGGCTTTCCTGTATCTTGCTCTTCTCCCTCCTCAGACTCTCGTTGGTCTGCTCTAGGTCACGAAACCGCTTGACAAGGAGGGCAAAATCCTCTCCATACTGATTGTTCATGTCGAAAACGTTCTCAGCTCGTGAGCTAAGGACTTTGAGCTCAGACTCCAGCATAGAGTTGAGCTGCTTGTACGATTGTTCAGACTTGGCGAACAGCAGCTCTGTCCTCTGCTTCTGCATCTCAGAATCTCGCACGGCCTCTTCCAACATCTCGACGTCATCGAGGGCCTTCTCAAGAAACATCTTGGTCTCGGCATGTCGATGCACTTCATTGACATACTCCTCCTTGAGAGTTTCTTTCTCCCTCTCGCTTCGATCAAGCTGAATCTCCTTCGATCTGATCTGCTCATTCATAGTCTCAACCACCAGCGTCAACTCCTCCATCTCACCCTTGAGCCTTTGGCTCTTTTCCTTCCACAGTTTGGTTTCTGTCGTCATTTCTTCGCATTCTTTTCCTTCCTTGAGAATCTCAGCATCCAGCTCCTTGCATTGTGATGTCGAGACAGCCAGTTGGTGTCTGAGTGAGGAGAGTTCATCTGCGAGAGCCCTGTCTGCTCTCGCCCACGCGTCAAGTCCTGCCCTGACCTCCTTTGACAATCTTTCGATCCATGGAAACTCTGCAAGAAAATCTTTCAACTGCCTTAGTAGTGCTGCCGACTTTGAATGAAGTCGTGACTTTTCTTTGATCAAACAAGCAATCTCAGAGGAGAGCGTCGAATTCTGCTTCTTCAGTCCAGACTCTGTCATCTTGAGCGCGGCCAGTTCCTCTTCTAGCTTGCGACATTTTCTCTCGTAGCTGGCCGCGAAAGCGAGCGAAGTCTTCAGTTCGCCTATCTGCTTCACCTGCAAATCAACCTGGTTGACTTTGTCTTGGATCAATTCATTGGCTTTCTTGCGAATCTTTCGAATCTCATCTTGAAGGTCTGCAATCTTGTTTTTCATCTCCGTCTCTCTCCGTGCTGTCGACTCAAGGATCTCATGGATCTCTTCCTTGCTTTTCTGCACTGCTAATTCCAATGCCGAATTGTCTTGAAGCAACTGTTGGTTTACATTGTTCAAAGACGCTACCTTTGCCTCTGAATCGACAGCTTGTCGCTGAAGATCACCTATAGCTTTGTTGAGATCAGAAACAAGCTTGTTGTTCGATTCCTTGACTCTTTCGAGCTCGGACTCATTCCATTCGGTCTTAACCTGTACGTCTGTCAAGTTCTTTGTAAGGGTCTCTTTTTCTCTCAGAAGTTTGTCCGTATCCTCTCTGTGCTTCAGTTCTAGAGCTGCAAGCTGATTGACCAATTCTTGCTCCCTCGCTTGATAGTAATTGACTTCCTCTTTGAGCGAAACTTGACGATTGCTGCTCAACTTCAGATCTTGTTCGCTCTTGCTGGCCTTTCTCTGCCACTGCAGCAGTTGGATGTTGTGGTTCTGCTCCTTTTCTATCGAGCGCTTCTTCTCTTCCTGCAGGTCTCTATTCATGTCCTCGCACAGCCTCTCTAGGGTCCGGTTGGCTTCTTCCGTTGCCTCTCTTTTCCTCGTGAGCTCCATGTTCGATCTTTGCAGTTCATTGCGCTGTGCATCCAGCTCTCTCAGACTGCTTTGCGTTTTCTTGAGCAACGTTTGCATGACTTCTTTTTCTATCAGCATGGCATTCTTGCAATCCTCGAACTGCGACTGCTTTTCGTTTTGGTCAAGTTTTATCATTTGTGATTCCTTGTAAACCAAGTCGAAATCGCTCTTTGCTCTGTTCAAGTCTGCTTCTAGTGAAGATCGCCTGTCATTTTGAGCTTCAAGCTCCAGCTTCAGTCTTGCGGCTTCTCTTTCAAGAGTCAACTTCTGCTCCGTCATCTGTCGTTGACACAAGGATTCTCGATCCACAGCTGACTCAAGTTGCGCTTTCGTGCCGACAAGCTCCCTGCTCTCTGCAGTTATTCTTCGTGCCAACAACATTGACAAGTTCATACCTCTGCAAGACGTGCAATTCGGATTTCAAGGCAAGCAATTGCTGGTCGCATTGAGATTTCAGCACCAGCAGAGCTTCAGCTTTCTCTTTGAGTTGATCTTGCAGATGGTGAAGATCCCGTTTGTATTGATCGAGTGTCACTCTCAATAGCTCGCATTCATTTCCCTTTTCGTTGATTTCCAATGTCAGATTCTCAAGTCGATTCTTCAGTCTATCGATCTCGCGGTCTGACGTTGATGACTTGGTCTCAAGATTTGCATTTCTTGCCGTAAGCTCTTTAATTTGATTCTTCAAGGTAATGATCTCTTTTTTCATACCCGATTCTTCCGTTTCCTTCTTGCTTGTTATCACTTTTATCGTATGTTTTAACTCAAGATTCTCCTGCTCCAGAAGCTGAAGCTGCGACTTGAACTCCTGAATTGATGACTCCAAGCTTAGTTGTTTCCTCTGTCCTTCAATCATGTTTGCTTTGATTTGAGCTTGAAGCTCATCGGCCTTCTTTGCTTTTTGTTTCAAAACAACAAACGGGTCTTCAGCTCCATCGAGAAAGCCACACATTATTCCAGCATTCTCAGACTCGGTCACTAAGCTCTCGAAACTTTGTGGTGGCTCGTCACGGTAGCAGCAGCTTTGTAACCTGAGTCACTTTCTCATACAAAAGAGGTATAAGAGTGAACACGAAAAAATCTACTCACCCTTCTCCTGGTTGTTCAGCTCCGCATGTTTCTCCAGTAGACTCTAGACTGCAGGTCGCATCAAATTCTCCACGGCTGAAGTTTATAATCGCTTGCTCTAAAGCTGCAATATGTTGGTGCAACTGCATGTTGTTGTTCATTAGCGATATTTCTTTTTGTGCCACTAAGGTCCCAAGTTGTGCAATCGCAAGCTCCAGACGGGATAACTGAGAATAAAGCATCGGACTTTTGTTTGTTTTCATTGCCATCCACACTTCCCTCAACGAGCTCAGATTGTTTCCAACATGCACAAGAGCGTCCACGATAGCTCTATACATTGAGGGTCACACGTCGCATGTTGAGAGAACACAAGCACCGATCTTGTCTTGTCAGGAATGTCTTGAGCTCTTGTCCATCGCGGACAAACCCGACGAGCACACGAGACCCCGCTTTACCATCATGCAACTTTCTTTTGATGTTCCACTCGTTGACTTGACAACCATCTACATGCTGAATGCCGCAACTACCCATCAGAAAGTGTCTCGAAGCAGATTCACTCTTACCTTGATCACATCTCCCTTCCTTAGAGGTGGCTCGCTCCCTGGTTTCTTATGCCAGCCCCAGGAACCGCATATCTGTCAGAGCACATCACCATGCGAGCTCTCAGCTCAGAGTCACACCAGATGATTTACTTGCACGCTATTCTGAACGAGTGACACGCCAACGGCAACGGAGATTGCTGAGTCATGATGTCGAAATTTGTTTCTCAAAGATGTGATTTCTTGTACTGCTCGCTCGGCTGTCAGGTTTGTGATCTCACATTTAGTTTGAGAGTTTGGATCGGACGGTTGCTCTGCTGATGTCCAGCTGGAAAGCGAAGCGAAGGCTTCAGTAGCCAGCGCCTGCAGGTTTGTCATCCCCTGGTCGCTACCATGCCAGTCTCTTTTCTGTCCGCCTCAAATAAAAAAAAAACATCACAGGGCACCAGTTAAAAAAAGTAATTGAGTAAAACTGTGTATAGTTTTGAGAAGGGCCGGTCATGTTGACATTGAGAAGCTTCTATAAACTCCTGGAACTCCAGGTCGGGAGGTGGGCGGAGGGGAAGGATGTCCGGAGCGACGAACTGGCGTGCGAGACCCTGCTGCTCCTCTTTGACGCTACCGTCGTGGTCCTGACCCACTGGCTACGTCGGGTTCCGGAGGTCGTTCCTCTTCAGGCAATAGTTGATGTCAAAAGTTCAGTGGGAAATAATTTCAATATTCGAAATCATGCGCTCTCCAAATGCCAACTAGAGTGAGTTTTGGAATTTGGGTTTTAGGGTTTTAGGGTTTTAGGGTTTTGGGTTTTAGGGTTTAGGGTTTAGGGAAACTTTTTTAACAACGTGGCAGTCGAATCCATCGCAAAAATCATGGAAGTATATGGCTTCCATCAGCGTGATGTAGACGTGGTAATCAGCGGCAGCAAAGGGATAGCACTGCAGATTCAAACAG